CTAAGAATCATCCTAACGTGTTCATTTGTTTCAACATACCCAAATGAGGATACACGTTATAATGTAGAAATATTCAAAGGATAGAAAAGAGTGTAGCGAACATTCAACCTGTAAAGATACAATGCCTGGCATTGCTGGTGACATTCGTGTGATCACAAGTTATTAGCTAGATGAATTGATTAAAAGTACACACAACCTAAATCTAAATGTTATAATAATGTCAATAATGTTTATTCTCTTAAATGGATTTCTTATAATGATTTAAAAGATAATGAAATGATAGAGAGATGTGGTTTTTGGCCATATATGGATAAATGGTGAAAATAGGTAGGACGTGATTTCTTGAAGAATTTTACAGATTTATTATTTTTAAATCTACTTATAAAATTAAAATTTTCAGAATAACCTGATCACAAAAGGAATATTAATATATATCTTTGCAATGGATTATATAAAAAACGGAAGTCTTCAAAATTATTTAAAAAGGTTTTTAAAAATTTAAAATGAAAAGAATTCACTTGTCATGATCTGTTCACGTGTTGTAGTTTTGGGGGTTGTCAACTCCAGCTTCATATAGTAGGAGTATTACCATATTTGCACTTGAACCACACACCATGACATGTAACTTTGGAGGATCGATGTCAGTAATATCAACAGGTTAACGACAATAGGGTTTCAGGCCAAACTATTTTTCAAAAAAATTAATCCCGGCAATAATTTGGATCTGGGGACTTAGTTGATGTCACAACTTTCTGAATGCATCATATTTTAAGAATTTCAATTTGCTATCTTCTTCCAGTCCAGTCAGAAAAAAACCGGTGGCGCTCATTTCGTCGACAATCATTTCGTCGACAACACGGAGGTGAGGATTTCGCGTGTGGGCGCATATTATTAACAATTTTATCATTTGAAGTTAAACGTTACGTCGGGTGTTGTCGGTGAAATGAACTGTCGACGAAATGATACAGACCCACTTTTTGATTGTGAACCATCTCTCCCAGCTCTCCCACTTTCTTGGATATATTGGCCAAGGCTCAAAGGAAAATTGAAATGAATTATAAGGTATACATCTGAAGTGTTTATACCCATTCCAAAAGCATTTGTTGCTATGATTATTTTAGTATTTCCAGTTTTCCATTTCATTA